TAAATGCATTATCTTCTCGCCCACCCTTGAATACACAGTAGTAATTCTCACTGATACTTTTTTTTTTTTCCTGCTGAGTGCCATTATTCTCCCAGGCACTTTTATCAAACATGGGTATCTGATTTCCTCCAACCTCCTGTCCCTATGTTCATACCTCTACACTGAAGCCTCCAGAGCCCTAACCTCTACAGATGTCATCTCCACAATAGCTCTTAAGTTACGGCCCCTCTCTTTCCACCCCTGCAGTTCATCCCCCCTGTCCTGAGCTAGAAGTTACCTGATGTCAATTTCCAGCTTCCACCATTCTCCACACAACCATCAGATTGCCTTCACTAAGATCCTTCTGACACTCTCGGTGGATTCCCTATGGCCTAGGTAACTACAAACTGTTAACCATGGTAGTCAAGCTCTTCCTGCTCCCAGCCAGGCTCACGCCCGCCCATCAGTCTTCTCGCATGTCTTTCCCCCACAGCTGACCACTTCCTATCTCTGAGCAGATCTTTTCAGTCCTACCCACACCATCGTGTCATAAAGTCTCATTCACCTCAAAGGCTCTGCCTCCCCTTGGCATGCAATCCTCTCCGTCCTCCAGAGTCCACTCCCGATGACCTTTGTGCTAGCTACTTTGTGTCACCTCGACACCAACCTGGACGTCCCTGGGAGGAGAGAATCACAACTGGGAAGATGCCTCCATCAGACTGCCCTGTAGGCATCCCCATGGAGACATTTCCTTGGTTGCTGATTGCTGTAAGAGGCCCAGCCCGCTGTAGGTAATCCCATCCCTAGGCAGGCGGACCTGGGCTCTGAACACGGTCTGGAACAAGGTCAGATAGCTGAATTTCTCCAGCCTCTGTTTCAGTTCCTACCTGGAACTCCCACACTGGCTTCCCTCAATGATGGACTGCGGGTTATAAGTTGAATTGCGTCCTCTCCTCCCCAAGTTGGCTTTGGTTAGGGTGTTTGTCACAGAAACAGAAGGAAAATAGAGCAGCGTCCCTTCCACAAGCCTCATTTATGTCCTCCTCCACCCCCCAGTCACGACATATCTGTTATCCTTAAATTTCTCCTGGGGTCCACTTGTATCTTTGCCGTAGAAGTGATTGCCGTTCTAACTGGCTAGCTGATTGAGGCTCAAGATCGGAGATAACTCCAAACTCATCTCTGTATGTCAGTCTCTCAAGGATCAGAAAGACTCTAAGTGGCCAAATAAATATTTATTGAATTGGCAAAGAAAGCAGGGGAAATGAAGTGCTGGTTTCCACAACAGAAACGTTCTAATGTGCGCTTATTTCACCAAGAAGTGATGGGAAACTTTGAAGAAGCATTGCCCAGCTGCCCACAATAAAAATAATAATATAACATGTCCTGACAGAAAAAGATTAATGGTGCCTCAAAACTATACTTAAAAAAATGTTTATTTAGCCGGGTGGTAGTGGTGCACACCTTTAATCCCAGCACTAGGGAGGCAGAGGCAGGCGGATCTCTGTGAGTTCGAGGCCAGCCTGGTCTACAGAGTGAGTTCCAGGACAGCCAGGGCAACACAGAGAAACCCTGTCTTGAAAAACAAAACAAAACAAAATGTTCATTTGTACATATGTATGTCTACGACCATGTGTGTACATGTATGTATGCGTGTATATGTGCAAGTGTATGTGTATATGTGTCCATATGTATGTATATGTGCATGTATATGTGTATGTATGTGTGCATGTGGAAGCTAATGTCAGGTGCCATTCTCAACCTCCTTCTACCTTTTCTTTTTTTCAATATTTTTGGAAATTAAAATATAATTATATCATTTCCCCCCTTTCTTTCCTCCTTCCAACCTCTCCTATATCCCCCTACCTCTTCTCAAGCTCATGGAATCTTTTTCTTTATCATTGTTACAGGTATGTATATATGTGTTTGTAATACATATATATGCATAAATATATAAATACAACCTGCTCAGTTATTTTGTATTACTTGCATGTGTATGATTTCGTGGCTGACCACTTGGTGTTGGAGAAACACTTAGGGGGCTCATCCCCGGGGATGAATACTTCTCCCGCTCTCAAAAGTCCTTAGTTGCCTGGAGCTCTTGGTCTATGACTGGGGCCCAGTGAGATTTCTTCCTCCGTGTGAGCACGTCTACTGGTGTTGTCTTTGTCAGGTCTCGTTTAGACACTTGTATTGCTGAGGTGTGGGTGAAGCTCCCCTGTCACTTCCAGAAGACACGTTCTCACAGCAGGTTTCCTGGTCCCCCTGCACTAACCATCTTCTGCCCCCCGTCCCCCTTCATTGATGTTACCTGAGCCTTAGATACAGGAGCTAGCTGTGTTGTTGGAGATGGCCACCTCATGACCACTTGTTCTTTGCATTTTGACTAGTTATGGTTTTCCGTAATGTTCTCCTTTGGTTGCAAAGAAAAGCTTATTTGATGAGTAATGAGACTTACACATATCTGAGAGTTACACGTATCTGTGGGTATAGAGATAAATATTTAGAACGTAATTGGGAATTATTCTGGCTTACCAAAGGGCAGTAGAAGGTTCTTCTCTAAGATCCATGACCTCACTAGCCCTGGGCAGTTGGCTGGGTTGCCAATACTTAGCAAGATTTCTCTCCTGTTCAATGGGCCTTAGGTCTGATTAGAGAGGTGTTGGTTGCTACCAAGATATGAGGGCCAGTATTGCATCCTTAGGATATCTTGCCAAATTGGTCAGAGCTGGCTGTCTACCCTATGCTTAGAAACAGGATCTGTCACTTCAGAGAGATGAGCTTGCCTACAAGTCCCTGGAATTCTCCTGTCTCTGCCTCCCCAGCATTTGGGTAATAGGTACACCATCACTGTGTCCAGCTTTTACCTGGATACTGGGGTTCAAATGCAGGTCCTTATGCATGCACAACAGGCATCTCCTCAGTTCTAAAAAAATATTCTCATGGTGAAATGTAGTATGTTAGAAAAGGTTAATAAAACATAAATGTGAAGTTTGACAAACAAGCAGAAAATAAATCCCGTGTAATCACTACAAGGTTCAAGAAATATCATTAGGTCCCTAGAAGTGCTCATCCATCCTGCCTGTACATCATCAGGACATAATCCTTCCCCTCAGCTCACTCCTGACTCTCAGAATAACCACTTCCTGACTTATGATTTTAACCCTTATGCATCAACTAAACAATACAATGTGGGTTTGCCTATTTTAAAAAAAATTAATTTTATGTGCTTTGGTGTTTTGCCTGCATGTATACCTGTGTGAGGGTGTCAGGTCCCCTGGAACTGGAGTTACAGATGGTAGTGAGCCACCATGTGGTTGCTGAGAATTGAACCCAGGTCCTCTGGAAGAGCAGTCAGTGCTATTAACTGCTGAGCCATCTCTCCAGCCCCCTATTTTTAACTTTATAATGGATAGACTTTCTCTACATAGTCAAAGAGATTCAAAGGTAGTCTATGTCTGATTAGATATAAGTCTACATGTTATTGCAAAAAGTTATAATTTTTATTTTAAATTTCTTTATATGATTCCATCTTATGGTCCATCACCACAGTGTGCCTGTTCTGCTGATGATGGGCATGTGGGTTACCCCTTGTTTGGGGTGACAGTGAATAGTGCTGCCGTAACTATTCCTTCATATGTAGCCTGGTGCACAGTGCCCCCATTTCACTAAGGCTGCCTGGCTGCAAACGTTTGAAACTTCCTGCGTAGTCCTTTTCTTGTAAGTAATAATACTTTTTCTAATGTGGTCTGATTCCTATTTATAGATATTCACACACACAAAAAAGTGTGATATCAATATATAGCATTGAGATTTATGAATACTTGAATGTATTTTCAGATTATTACTGGAAATGTGTGTGGTTGGCTATTGATTAGTTTCTTGGCCAGTTTTAGTTGAGTGTATTCAGATGCAGTTTTTAAGTTTTCAGATGATTATATCAAGTCATCACTTACCCCCGCGTGGGGGAGGAAGCCTCCTTCTGGGCCTTCAGATAGTTTCCACTTCTTCTCACAAGCTCTGCACTGTCTTCTCTCTCTCCCCACAGGAGTCTCCTTAACTCTTTGTCCCTGCTCTGCTTCCTCTGGAGCCTACACTGAAGGGCTCTATTCTGTCAACGCCTCTGTGCTGTCCAGAGCTCCTCATGGACCCTCTCTGGAGCCTACACTGAAGGGCTCTATTCTGTCAACGCCTCTGTGCTGTCCAGAGCTCCCCATGGACCCTTTGATGTTATTCAACCCTGTCTTGCCTTCAAGCGTTCCTGGACCCTTGTAGAAGAAGACCCTGTCCACCCCTTTGGAATCATTGTCACTGGTCTCTGCTCTTTCAGAAACACAAAACGAGATCCCTTTCAGTATTAATAAATAAACACGTAGTAGTTTCTGGGGGGGAAATGCTGAATTAAAAACATTTCTCTATAGAAACATGACCTTTTGGTCACGTTTTCTCCTTTAGACCTAATAGTCTGAGGTTTCAATTAAAAAAACATCCTAGCTGAAAACCATGAGTAAGAAAAGAATTCAACTCGGAGCAAAGAACCTGCAGGGCTTTATAAAGCATCCCTTTCAGAGTTTCCTAGAAAAGGGAAAGGGCCTTTCTAAGAAGTCAGAAAGCAAAACAAAGCAAAAGCAAATAGAAAACCCTTTGCAGACGACAGGAAGTGTTGCTGCCACTTCCGGCCCTCATTTTATCTAGTCTTGCATCAGACATGGCTGAGAGCTACAGATATCTCCAGCCAACCAGCAAGAAAGACTAAGGCATTGAGAGCAGAGCTGAGGACTTTGCCTCTCTTGAAAGCCCTTCCGTGAGAGAGACTGTGTCTTGGAATTTGAGGTTTGAGGAAGTTTATGCTGTGTTGCCATAAAATACTGCAAAAGGTAAATTATCAGATATTACATTACCTTTCAAGTAAGTCCATTTAGACAAACTGCTGCTTTGTGGATGTGGCCTTGATTCGTGGTTGAAACTAAACATTTTCAAAAGGAGACTAGAACTATGCAAGCTTAAGTAATAGAGGAACGATGACCTTGCTGAGCCGTTCCTCTGCCGTCCAGCCTGAGGAAGGCAGTGAAGACTGGAGGTGATTATAGCTAATAACCTACAGTCTCATTTACCGGGATGGTAATATAGAGGACTACATGATGTGGTACCCCGGGAATTAGAACACTCATCTATTTTTATTCCCCTTTCTTCCTCCTACTTGCAAGCTAAGCTCAGCATCGGCCAGAGGGAAGTAACAATTCAAAAAGGACCTCTGTACAGAGCCGAAGGTTACCCTGTCAGCATCAGCTGCAACGTAAGTGGTCATCAGGGGCCTTCTACGCAGGATTTCCAGTGGTCTGTTTACCTGCCAACAGCCCCGACCAGGGAAGTTCAGATCATCAGTACCAAGGATGCCGGCTTCTCTTACGCAGTGTATGCCCAGAGGGTGAAAAGCAAGGAGATCTACGTGGAGAGGCTGCAAGGCAGCTCAGTCCTGCTGCACATCGCAAAGCTCCAGATGAGGGATGCTGGCGAATATGAGTGCTTCACACCCAACACGGATGGGAAGTACTTTGGAAGTTACAGTGCGAAGACAAATCTAACTGGTGAGCTCTTGCTAGCCAGGTCCTTGGCAAGCCTGTCTCTGCCATCACAATGCTCTGCCCAGGGAAAGGCTTTCCATTAGACTGTTTGCTCTGGATGAAGAGCCTACCTACCACTCCGAGTATTTCGGAGATGTGTTACAAGTAGGTGTCTCATGTTTTCCCCAGTGACCTATCCCACACAGATTGAGCCAGTGTGGAGCCTTCCCAAGACCTCTACTCACAAACTGGTAGTGGCAAAGCATTAGATGGACCTTTGCATGTCCCCGAACTTCATATCATCTTGCAACTTGTTAAGGGAGAGATGGCACTAATATCATAGGTGATGTCATTCACTGCAGAATGGTGGTTTTCCAACCACCATTTCCTAGCACGTATCCCTACAGGGACAGTTCAGATTCTTGCAACTGTCATATGCCTGGACTATCTAGCTTTCTTTTATAATTTAGCAAACTCTCACACGAACTTCAGGATGCAGATTCAACATTACCTCCTTTGCAAAACCCTTTAGATTGCCTCAGGGCATATCCCCAACTTGGTTCTTCTTAATGCCCTGTTCACACTGTGATTACCAGCATTTACCCAGTTATGCCATAACTGGCTATTTATATGCACGTCTCCCACCACCTTCTGAGCTCCTGGGAACGCTCAGCTCTTAGAGCAGTGTCTCGAGTATTTGGTGACTCAGCCTCAGGGCTGGATGAACTTGGACCGTATGGCTTGCATTTGAGAAAGAAGAGAACAGTAGGGTCCTAAGACAGCTATGAAAACTTCGGGAAATAGTACATTTGGGGTCTGAATAACAAATCACATGATTTCGGATCTCTGTAATAGAAAAAGCAGGTTAGAGTCTGGGGAGAGAAACAAAGCGATCCACTCATGCGCATCTAGTGAGACACCATGGGTGGCTGAAGGCCAGAATCCAGGTCTAGAAGCACCAATGCTCCTCTCCCTGGCGGCTGAGTAGCTAACCTGGCTCCAGCCTAGGCTGAGGAAGCAAAGCCAGGGTCCTACATCACTAAGCCACTTGCTTTGCAAAGTTTCCATGCTGCCTCCGCAATAGGGAAGACCCACGTTAGAAAGGCATCTGGCTGGGAAAGCAAGCTCAAAGGATGCGCTTTGTGGATGACGTTTAGACACAAACACGAACCAGTCAGATGATCACTGTCGCTTTGTTTCCAGTGATTCCCGACACCCTGTCTGCCACCATGCCCTCCCAGATGCTCAGGAAGAAGGAAGACGAGCCCTTAGAACTCACCTGCGAGGCCACCAAAGCAACGGCTCAACATACCCACCTCTCTCTCACCTGGTACCTGGTGCAGGATGGAGGAGGCAGCCAAGCCATTGAGATCATTTCTCTCTCCAGGGATTTTCTGTTGGCCCCGGGGCCCTCCTATGCAGATAGGTTCGTGGCCGGTGACGTGCGGCTGGACAAGCTTGGAGCCACCTCCTTCAAGCTGTCCGTGGGCAAGCTCCAGCCCTCAGATCAAGGCCAGTTGTTCTGCGAGGCCACAGAATGGATTCAGGATCCAGATGAAACGTGGACTTTGATCACAAGAAAGCAGACAGATCAAACAGCTCTGAGGATCCAGCCAGCAGGTAATTATCTTCTCAGAAAACCTGTGAATTTGCCGTCAGTGAGTAAGTAAGTAGGGAGAGCTTTTTTTTAACCTTTTGTTGACTCTTCCTAAAAAGTAGATAAAAAAGTTTAAGTTAATTTTGTTTTTGTCATTTGGGAAGCATAACTGAAAAGATGTTCCAAAATGTTCCATTTTAGCTCTGCTCATGGGAGATTTTATATGGGACAAGAAATATGAAAGAGCTAGATTGATGCTATAAGCCAGCCATGGAAACGATTTTATAACCATGTTTACCAGGCACTTTGTAAGCATGTTATTTATATTTTTTAGTTGTAGTTCAAACAGTCACCCCGTAAGATAGTCAGCCCCCCATTTTAGAAACAAGGAACCCCAGTGACAGACACACTGAGTACATTCCAACCCCTACTGGGGAATGGAGAAACCAACTTCCAAAGTCTAATCTGCCTCTCTCCGAAGCCTACCTACCACAGGCAGCTGGGCCTAAAAGCTGCTCTAATTTCCAACATGAAGCCTCGTCCCTGTTGGTGATAGGATGGTTTTCCACCAGGCTTGAAATTGTCACCTTACATGATCCATTGACATTTTCATCAAAAGTAGACAGAAAGGCCTGGCCAGTTTTGGTCTCCTTAGGTGCACTGTTCCAGTACGGAGGGCCAGTTAAAACTGGGAGTATCCACCCTTGTTGTGGGATATTTGTTTACCTAGGCAAAGATGTGTTACATTTGTTTATGCTGCATTTGTTTAACTATGTAAAGCTGTGCTGCATTTGCCTTAGTTACATAAAATTAACCTGGGCTCCTAGAGGCGGGGTTAGCAACTCGTTGACAGGAAGTAGCAAGGAGGGGGCAGATGGTGGGTTTTTCAGTTCAGGTGGGGGGTGAAAGGAGAGGGGCTTCTGGGGACACCAGCAAAGAGAGAACATTAGCAAGTTGCTACTCTAACTCTCTGAGTTCTCAGGGTTTCACTCTAGCCTTTGAATCTTGAGTGTTATTAGAATGATAGGGATTTAGTTAAAGCTACCTTTAGTGGTAGCAACAGAGCCATTGTCTGGGGGAAGAGAGTTCCCCCCAAGCTATGGCCTGAGCAGCCTGGCGGCCAGTAGTTTAAAGGGCAGGCACTGTGAGGAAGGTAAAACAGCTTTTTGGTGCCCAGTATGGGGTACCAAATGTAGCAGGCTTTCTTGGACCGCCAGGCCCCAAATCATGACCTGGAGACTTGTTATTAGTTATGACTGCTCGGCCTTCGTTTAGGCTTGCCCCACCAGCTCTTATAACTTATATTAACCTATTTCTCTTCATCTATGTTTTGCCTCAGGGCTTGTTACCTTTATTCATTCTGTATGTCCTACTTTCCTGCTTCCTCTGTGTCTGACTGGCTGGCCCCGAGCATTGCCCTCTTTTTCTTCCTCATTCTCTCTCTAGCCTAGATCCCTCCTCCTCCTCCTCCTCCTCCTCCTCATTCTCTCTGCCCGCTATCCCTGTACTGCCTAGCTATTGGCTGTTCATCTTTTTATTAGACTAATCAGATGCTTTAGGCAGGCACGATGAAACAAATGTAACACATCTTTACATAGTTAAACAATTATCCTGCAACACAAACAAATGCAACGCATCTTTACATAGTTAAACAAATATTCTATTCCACAACACACTGTGGAAAGGAATACTCCAGGGGTGGATAACTGACTTTATATGTTACTCTGCTCCACTACAAATCATCCGGTGGCCCTCAAGTATCTGATATGCGCTCATTGGGTCCTACAAGGCTGTATCAAATGTGCTCAGAAGTTAGAAGAATTCTACTAGCTCTTTCTTAGACAAATGAACAAAGTAAGAAATAAAGGCAGGGGTTATGGTTCAGAGCAAGCAGTGGATGCCCAGCACACAGTGAGGCCCAGGTTTAATCTCCAGCACAATAATAAAAGAGAAAACCAGGAGTCATAATTTACAGCAATTCAACACAGCATGAAATATTTCACTTTTTAATTAAGGAGACATGCCTAAGTAGATACTTGACACATCTGTGCATGCTTTTTACTTGACTGCTTCAAGAAAACCATGGATACTGTCCTTTCTGGGTGATTTGGAATAGTCGGGGGCCTTAGTAATTTTCTTTTACTGTGGGGCTATATTGAGTAGGGAACTCACTCCACCACAGAACTGAAAGGCTACATAAAATGCAACCATGGTATCGTTATCACAGATTTCATCCCTCTTGTGCCCAAAGGGGCAAGGACAGTGGGCTTTCTAAACATCTGCCTTGCTTTTGTTCCCCAGCAAAAGATTTTGAAGTGGACATCACAGCCAGGAGCTCGCCTGCTGAAGGAAACCCCTTGGAACTGATTTGCCTGGTTGTGGGTAGAGGTGGTGACCAGAAGTTTCAGGGTACTTGGTTCCTCAACGGGAAGGAAATCGCCCAGATCGATGCTGATGGGGTCCTGGACCTGAAGACAGACTACAGAGACAGAGCAAGCCAAGGGCAGCTGCAGGTTTCAAAGTTAAGCACCCAGACTTTCTCTCTGAAGATCTTCTCCCTGAGTCCGGAGGACGTAGGCGCCTACAGCTGTGAAGTAGCAGAGATGGTGAGGACTCAGACCGGCTCCTGGCAGGTAGTTCGGAGAAAGCAGTCGCCGCTCAGCCGGGTGCGGCTGAGGGAGCCAGCAGGTACGTGACGTGGGGACAACCACAGATGGTGCTCTCTTCAGACACCCCCTCCCTGGCAGTACAGGAGCACAGTGAGGGTCTTCCTGTAGAGTCTGGAGTTGTCAGACCCCCACCGGAGGTGAAGTAAAGGAGGAGAAAGTACCAAGACTAGCCAAGACATTTGGAGTCCAATTCCTGAGCCAAGGGCCATGGGCACCTCTCTTCATTACTCAATTTCAGTTCTCTTGTCTCTAAAAAGGCCCTTAAGTCCCTTCTTGCTGTCTTACGTTGTTTGAGTCTATTTTAGTTGCAGTTTTTGTATGCTAGGTTTTCTGTATAAAGTCCTCTGACTTTATGTGTTCGTACACATGTACGTACGTGAGCATATGCTTATAAGTGCATGAATATGTGGCACATGTGTGTGCCGGTGTGTGTGAATGCATGTGTATATGGGAGTGTGTGTGGGGGGAGAGTAGAGTCCCTTTTCCTGAGGAACACACGGCCAAGTAAGCTGACCTTGAGTTGAGGCTGGGCGGCTGTTTTTCAATTGCTTTCTGCTAATCTGGTTATGTTAACTTGCAGTGGGTCATAATTCTGACTCACAGTGAGAAATGAGGAGACAAATGAAAGCAGACAGACTCCATTCTCTGTGCTTGTTGGGATGTGGTGAGATGTCTGCTCAGCTGGTCCTGAGCATCCCTCTGAGCAGGACACCGAGAGCCACTGCTATGGCTTCTAACTGTCCTCCAAAGGCCCCAAGTTTGGTCCTCGGTGTGGTGATGTGGACAAAATTAGATCGTGGGAGCTCCACCCTCACGAATATGTTGATGCCACCTTGGGAGACAGGACTGTGTAAATGAGGCCACTTTGGGTGCTTATCTCTCCTGCTTCCCTTTCTCCTCCATGACGTTCTGCCGTAGCTAGAAGGTCCCCACCATGCCAGTACCACAATATTTGGATTCTTAAAACCGTCAGAATACATTATCCGACCTTAGGTTTTTTTGTTCCTGCAACACAAAACAGACTCGGGACAGCCACTGAGTTCATTCATCCTTACTTTGTGAAGATGGAGTGACTTTAGCTGTGTTTCAATAATCCGGGCTTTACATAGCACCCAGAACCAATATTAGAATAACACTCTGGGCTGAGTGTTAAAGTCTAGAAAGTAAATTTGCCCAAAAGCAAAAAGTAAGGGAAGAAATCTTAATTAAAAATAAACCGAGCTGAAATGAACGCTGTTCTTGCTGCACTTGCTCATTAGGGGTATCTCCAAAGATAGCTAAATGCCCCCTCTGCATTCGGCTTCCTTCTCCCCATCGGCTAGGGAGGAAGAGAATGGAGCTCTGGACGGAAGCGTCTTGGTGTTAGTTTCCACACTAAACATTTGGTCTAAGTTTCTAGGATTCAGGGAAACCAATGTGGGTGGTTTACATATTTGCACAGAGCTCACTCACTCACTAAATCTCTCAACTCCCCAGGGAAAATATCTACAAGCTTCCTTCAACTCGGTGTGTGAGAATTTGAATCCTGGAGCTCAAAAGGGTGCTTCATGGCATTCGGCTTCTGGTCGTAGGGGAGAGGGTTACCTTTCAATGCTAAAGAGAATTTTTTTTCCCCCACAGGCTGGAGTTCTAACTGGGCCTAACATATAGCAATTGGAAAACTTATTAGCATATTTATTGAGGACTTTGTCTAACACTCTGTTTTGAAAGTCAAACTGCTATTTGAAATATGAGCAGTTTTTATTGTTCCATGAATATTTTAAGCAGAAGGGGACACCCACTGTCCCTGTGCCCTGCTGTGCTTCTTACCACTTACTATGAGGCTAATGGCCACGATGAATTTTTGAAGTTATGTTAGTTGAAACTAATCATGATGGTTATGTTACAGCAGTGAGATTATGACTAGTCATTGCCCTTCTAATTTGCAAACTTCAGTTATGAGTCATTTTTATATTAAAGACAAAAGGCAGATAGCATGATCGTGCCTCTGACACCCAAAACGCAGAGGCACATTTGATAATTTGCTCAACCTGCTTATGAAGATCTGTCTTCATCCTGCCTTGTAGCTGGTGTGTGCATGCCTGAAGCAGTGGAAGGGATCGCTCTCCTCTGTGGGGAAGAACAATTTGCAGATTCATTTAGATCCCCGTTAGATGTCGAATGCTGGTTCTGTTTTATTTTTCTCTTTTGCTTTGAACTACCTCCTCTGTTGCCAGTGCCTCTTATTAAACACTAATGGTAATAGCTAACCCCTTTTCAGTACTCTCTGTAGCCCAAGGCCTAAGCCCTTTGTGTGGCCTTTGTTCAGCCTTCTCAACAAAGCAAAATGTGGCTGCTATTATTACCCTCATTTTTCCTGGAAAGAAACACAAAGGCTCAGAGAGGTCAAGTGTGCTGCCCAGAGTAATTCTGCCTCTGGGTGGTGATGGTTGTTGTTGGCCTTTAGTGCTGGGCTGCCTGAGACCCGGGAGCTCCTGATGTGTCTGCATGGCCCACAGAGCAGCCAGGACAGGACCTTGCACAATAAGCATTTGTTGAGTGAATGCTTGCATTTCTCCGCGTCTTAAATTTCCCATCTGGATGCCAGCCTTACATTTATAGTTAGCAGGCACAGTAATTTAAACATAAGAAGACTATCTTTACCAATGATAAAAGATAGATATGCATCTATATATATGATGTATGTGTATCTAAATATACATTTCCCCAAATTAGTTTTCTTTTATGGTGGAATTGCAAACAGAGGTCTAATTAATAAGTTTCTTTCCCTGTTCAAAACACACACTAAGCGGTTTCAGTCTGACTGGGATAGGGTAAGTAGGAAGATGGAGAGCATATTGAAAACACTGGTGGCCTTTATTCTAAAAAGCAAAACAAACACCCTAATATTTAAATCATCAGGGCTTCATTACTTTCTGGTTCATTTACTCACCTTAATGAATCGAACAAAATACTATCAGATATTTGCTCAATTGGATATTCTTCAGTATGGGCTGACTGAATAAAATGATAAGAAATATAAGTATATATTATGAATCATGTATGTGTCCATAGGCTCTTCTGGTCACCTGTCTTGTTTCCACTTTATGATAATTACCTTAGGGAAATTTTATTATACACACACACATATACATACATATATATATATATATATATGTACACATGCACCCATTCTATTTATTACCTATCCATCCATTCACATACAAATTCATCCATCCATCCATATATACATTCACAACACATACATATATACATACACGTATACATTTATCTATTCATACATACATACATACATACATACATACATATACACATGCATTTATCTATCTATCCATCTATCCATCCATCTATTTACAATGTAAATGTTTGGCAGATCTTTGTTCTGGGTGTGGTACAGGAGGAATCAACCAGCTCTGATTTGTCACAAATAAGTCAAGTTCTTATAATTTGCTTTCACTGTATTTTAGAAATGTTTTTGTTTAATTGATGCACTTTTCTTCCATAATCTATAATCCGCAGCAAGAAGTGTGTCTGTGTCTGCCGAGAAGCAGGCCCTGTGGGAAGGAGAGGCGCTCACCCTTCTCTGTAAGGCAGGTGGGGATGAAGGTCCTCTGTCTGTGAGCTGGTGGCTCATCCCACAGGACCAGACCACAGCCGTGTTTGTGGCTGGCATGGGGCAAGATGGTACTGTGCAGTGGGGAGTCTCTTCTCCGAGCCCTGAGGACTGTAGCAACAGAAGGTTGGAGAAAGTGGACTGGGCTACCTTTCGGCTGGAGACTGGCTCTGCCATGGTCTCAGACAGTGGTACCTATGAATGCAGAGTGTCGGAGAGGCCCCAGAACCAAGCCAAAGATTTGCAGTGGACCCAGAGGATTTCAGTCACTGTCAAATCTCTGAGTGAGTATCTGGGAAATCCTTTTCTGGATGTGTGTCAGTCACTCCATTGTATAATGCAGTTTGAGTAGCAACATCCGGAAACCCTGCCTATGGTATAAGTAACCTGAGATGAACAGAGCAGGATCTGCATATCAGGCCTGTCGACTAACCTCTCAGAGTTTATTCATCTTTATAAAGATCATTCTAGAGTGCAACTTGTAAATTGTTCCAAGTTGAAAACAAACCCCTATGAATAGGAGTTGACTTACAGATGAGTGGAGGCAAGCCTGTTCCATTCCAACAGCCGCCTGGGCGTCCGCCGTGAAGTCTTTTCTAGCACGGGCAAGAGAGTGACGCTGAACCCTGGGGGTGGGGAGGAGGCCAAACACTGGCTCTGAGTGTTCTACTTGCTGAGTGGGGAGAGGAAGGAGGCCAGACCCTGGCTGTGAGTGTCCTCCTTGCTCAGTGCAGCTGTCTAAGGGGCACACTGTGGAAAACACTGCCTGTTTGTTGTGGCTGCTGAGAACAGTCACAGGCGATGGGGGAAACTTGGAGGGCTGAGGTTGGAATTCGGGACAGACTGTACTGTGGACCAACCTCTACCCCCAAATTCACCATATTCCAGGAGCACAAATGTGTGGCCCTGTGTGAAGGGTGGCATTGAGAAAACTTGGAAGTCCTGTGCTTGGACTTGGTAAACAGGAAGCGTGTCTCACTTTCACCCCCCACAGAATCAAGTTTACAAGTAAATCTGATGAGCCGGCAGCCGCAAGTGACGTTAACCCACACCTTCGACCTGTCCTGCATCGTGAGGGCCAATTACTCGGGTCTCAAGCTGCCTTTCTCAGTGACTTGGCAATTCCAGCCAGCTGGCTCTGGGGCCTTTCATCAGCTAATTCGAATCACCCACAATGGCACAGTCGAATGGGGGGATGTCCTCTCCCAGTTCCACAGGAAGACGAAGGTTTCACAGTCTTCATTTCGTTCCCAACTCCAAATCCACGATGCTGCTCTGGAGGAGACAGGGGTGTATCAGTGCAGTGTGGAAGTTTATGACAGAAATTCCCTGTACACAAGTGGTCCAGCCAGGGTATCTGCCACCTCTAACCTATTGAGGATTACCGTCACCTTTCCAGGTAAGGGATGCTCGAAATTGATCCCTGCTTTAAAAAAGAAAAAGAAGAGAATTTTTTTGGTCAGGAATGATGGTACTCACTTACAATCCCAGTACTCAGGAGGCTGAGACAGGAGGATTGAGAATTTGAAGTCAGCCTAGGCTATAATTTGAGCCTCTGTTTCAAACAGTAACAACAACAAAACTCCTCCCACTTTGTGTAAACTACAGAAATAAACACAAAACTACCCAGTCATTGTGTTTGTGGTGGTAAAGCAAGCCTGATGTGATGGCCCTGATGTGAAGCTAGTACACATGGGATGGCCACATTGGTTGGTAAGACAATGAAACACTTCCCACTGGCTAACAACTCTGCGCCCTTTCCACATCTGCCGAGAGTTCCCATTCCCAACAGCTAAAGGATACTGCCTGCCACAGCAGATCCTCAGGGGCCTTCCTCCAGAGGAGACGGTCTTTTAGGTCAGTCACTGCTGGTGCCCCAACATCTTTTTCATGTTTGGAAGTGGCGGCGATCATGTAAATTCCATTAGGATACACTTAGCTACCTCTTTTAACCTGTTAGCCTACAAGAGAGAATTTGTGGTTTCCGTCCAATTCAATCTTAACTCGATAATAGATCAGAGAGGCTGAAAGTAAAACCCAGACTAGCCACAGTTCTGCCACACCTCGAGCTTTCTCTCTCCTGACTAGCATTTTCCCAGGATGGCAATGAGCCCTGGGCTTGGACGCGTTGCTTGCTCTGCCTCTGCCTCAGTCACGGCCTCTGTAAGCTGCTGGTGTGCACTTGAGCTAGGGTGTGTCTGTAGTGCTCCTAGGGCAGTGCCTGGCATGCAGAGCAGGTGCTCAAGCATGGTAGCCACCACCTACTCTGTGCACCACCTACTCTGTGCACCACCTACTCTGTGCACCACCTACTCTGTACATCACCTACTCTGTGCATCACCTACTCTGTGCACCACCTACTCTGTACACCACCTACTCTGTGCATCATCTACTCTGTACATCATCTACTCTGTGCACCACCTACTCTGTGCATCACCTACTCTGTACACCACCTACTCTGTGCATCACCTACTCTGTGCATCACCTACTCTGTGCACCACCTACTCTGTACACCACCTACTCTGTGCATCACCTACTCTGTGCATCACCTACTCTGTGTATCACCTACTCTGTGCATCACCTACTCTGTGCACCACCTACTCTGTGCATCACCTACTCTGTGCATCACCTACTCTGTGCACCACCTACTCTGTGCATCACCTACTCTGTGCATCACCTACTCTGTACATCACCTACTCTGTGTATCACCTACTCTGTGCATCACCTACTCTGTGCACCACCTACTCTGTGCATCACCTACTCTGTGCATCACCTACTCTGTACATCACCTACTCTGTGCACCACCTACTCTGTGCATCACCTACTCTGTGCATCATCTACTCTGTGCACCACCTACTCTGTGCATCACCTACTCTGTGCATCATCTACTCTGTGCACCACCTACTCTGTGCACCACCTACTCTGTGCATCATCTACTCTGTGCACCACCTACTCTGTGTACCACCTACTCTGTGCACCACCTACTCTGTGCACCACCTACTCTGTGCTGCTGAGAAATATGTTAATAGTACTGTGTTAATAGTAATGACCTTGCTCATGAATTCATGCCTTAATTTACTTGTCCTTCCCTTGATGTTTGAGATTGCTTCCACAAATCTTTCTTTCTTTTTTCTCTTTTCTTCCACTCTCCCCCCGGCCCCATGGCATGAAGCTTTCTTCCTAATACTACTGATTTCTTCTGATTCTCTTGTATTCTCCTCCTCCATTGAGTCACTATTTTATTTTATTTATTTAGTTTTTGTTTTTGTTTTTGTTTTTTGACAGTGTCTCACTCTGAAGTACAGGCTGACCTGAAATTCTCAATCCTCAAGCCTCAACCTGTTAAGTGCTAGGGTTACAGGTGTGTGCTACTATGCTTGGCTTTTCTTTTCTTTCTTTTTTTTTCTAAACTCAGGTTAGCATCAGACTTCTTATGTAGCCAAGAATGACCTTGAACTTCTGATTCTCTTCCACAATAGGCAAGATTTGTAGACGAATTTCTAAACAGTCTTATTAAATAAGAAACATAGAGCCAAATACAGAGGTAATAGCCGAAGAGATCAGAGCAATAGCCACAACTAGCCTTAGCTTACCACCAGCAGTAGCTTCCACAGAGAGAGCTTCTTCCTGTCTGACCTGTGTTTTTATTGCCTTCCTGTTTTGCCTTCTCATTGGCTCTAAGCCCAGCCACATGACTTCCTCGTCACTGCCTGTCTATACAGACCTCCAGGTATCTGTGGTTGGTACTGAGATGAAAGGCTTGTGTCACCACACTTGGCTGTGTCCTTGACCACACAGAGACTCTGCCTGCCATGTGATGGATTAAGGGCGTGGGCTACCACTGCCTCGCTTCTGTTTATGGCTATTTGACCTCTGATCTCCAGGCAACTTTATTTATTAACATACAAACAAAATATCACATTTCAGCACAAATGAAGTATCACCACAAAGATTTATTCCACTGAGTCCAGTTGTTTCTTTAAAAACAACCGCTCTTTTGGATTCAAGTTTAGTATGTGCTCTGACTCTCCGTGCTTTTTTAGGGTCAAGTAGTTTCTGCCCACGGATACGATCCACCTGTTGACCACTTCCATGTTCATTATTCAGGATGGTTTTTCTTCTGGTTTTGGGATTCATATCTAAGTGCTTCCAAGACATGCCTGTACTCAGTGTCAGAGTGTAAGTCATCATCATTGTCCAAAGATAGTCTTTCCATATTGTTCATGATGTCCTTAGCACATCCCAGCACCACAGATTAGAAACGGTGTCCTCTTCATGTCCATACTCCCATAGCAAGATGGGAAAGGTCTTCAGTGATCCCGTGTACTTGTTTCTCCAGAGCCTCCCACTTTCCATTTTAGACCTGACCCAACCACACTGAACTGCCTGCAATTCCATAATCCACATTTACTCTCGCGTTCAAGACTGTTATTCAGTTGTTCCTTTTATGTGGAATTCCTTTGCTCTCTATTCATCTGAATGACTATTCATCTTCAAGACTTAGCTCAGTGTTGCCTCCTCCGGGAAGTCTCTCCCCACTCCTGTCCTCGGGTTGGGTAAACCTGCTGGGCGATCCTGATATTTGTTGCATTTCTGCATATCTCTGTCCTATGTGGGTGATCGATTATATAATCTGGAAGTCTTTGTCCCTGTGTTACATCTTCCTCTAAATCAGTGGCTCTCAACCTTCCTAACGCTGTGACCCTTTAATACCGTTCCTCATGGTGTGGTGACCCCCCCCCCAACCATAAAATTATTTTTTGTTGCTACTTCATAACTATAATTTTGCTACTGTTATGAATCATAAATATCTGATATGCAGGAGATCCGATATGATATACAACCCCTGTGAAAGGGTCGGTCAACCCCTAAGGGGGTCACAACCCGTAGGTTGAGAACTGCTGCTCTAAACTGCAATTCACTGAGAGGAGGTAGTCACAAAATACCTAAAATAGTCTGGTATGTGGTATAATATGTGATTAATAAATGTTTGTGGAAGGGGAATAAAGGGACCTTCTGGCAACACCAACAACCATAGAGAGATCAGCAAGAAACGAGAATGAGATTTGTAAGGTTTATTGTGGGTCTTGTGACGAAGGAAAAGGCACTGGAGTCCCTGTCCCTATGCAGTCCTCACAGTGCAGTGGCTGCAGAGAGACACTGTGTTAACAGCCCACACACAACCTCCTCTCGTCCTCGTGTTTGCAGAGCTCTAATTAGACTTTGACAAATTGCAGATCCAGAAGCAGTTCCCATAGTAAACACCCAGAGACAGAGCGCTCACAGTGTCGCCGTCTCTCAAAATGATGCAAACATGCATGGAAGAGACTCTTCTGCTTACATACAACAGTATTATCGTGTGGGGCAGAGCTGGCCTTTTCCCCCAGGACTCTCCCCCTTCCCACACAGTAAGGACAGAACGAGGATGAGCAGATGGATGTTATGAAGAGAGAAACGTCAACTTGCAGTCACACAGAATTCTCACAGGCATGTTTAGACATTTGACATTGTAAACACAACACTGTCATCTCCAAAGTTCACGTACAACCAAAGTTCGAAGAATGAAACAAAATTCCGTAGTATTTTAAGTAAGTTTACAGTTTTGTGTTGGGTCCCAGTCAGAGCTATTCTTAGCCACATGCAGCCTGAGAGATGAACAGAGCTCAGAGATGGAAAGGACGGCTTCATCAGATCATGAATTGTGTGCCAAAGCTGAATGAACAGTTAGGGTAGCTGCTGGGAGGGAATTCACCCACGTGATGGCTGGAGTGGCTATTTGCCCTAGTTGACGGGCTGGCTTAAAATTCTGTTTGTTTTCCCCAGCCAAGTAACTCTCTTCATTCTTTTCATTCAGAGAGCAAACTGAGAGTGAACTCAAGCAGTCAAGCCCAAGAGCTCCCCATCAGCTCCAGCACGTACATAGAATGTGCCATCTTGTCCCGGTCTGCTGGGGACCTTCCGTTATCTGTCAGTTGGTACTTTTCTCCTACTCCTACAAATGCATCCTATCTGAAGATCCTAGAAACGGACCCAGCCAATGTCGTAAAATATGGGGATGGATTTCAAACCCCTCGGAGCAAGCAGAAATTTCATTCTAAGAAAGTGTCCCAAGACTTGTTTCTGCTGAACATTCTGAGTGTGGAAGACAGTGACCGGGGCCACTACTACTGTGCCGTGGAGGAATGGTTCTTGTCTATGAATGGCACTTGGCAAAAGCTTGACAGAAAGACTTCAGGACTCACAGAACTGAAACTCAGGCCCACAGGTAAACCTTAGAAGAGTATTGTCATAGACCTTTCCATAGGATGGCCAGCTTTTCCCCAACAGCCTGTAGGGTGTGACTAGGAAGAGATTAAAAATACTATCTGGCCGGGCGGTGGCGGTCCATGGTGGCAGAGGCAGGCAGATCTCTGTGAGTTGGAGGCCAGCCTGGTCTACAAAGCAAGTTCCAGGACAGCCAGGGCTGTTACAGAGAAACCCTGTCTCAAACAAACAAACGAAACAACAACAAAAAACTGGACCGTAGGAATAATAGCCACCTACAAATGCCCACAGGACCTGGTAGACACCAGAGGAGGGGAGGTTGCCTAAGGTGAATCAGTATGAGGTTTTGAGCTCAAATGGGAACAAGATCCCTTTGCCTGGTTGGTTTGGCAGCTTGGCAGCCTGGTCTGCACAGCTGCCCAGGGAATCATATCTCCAGATCTCTGTAATAACCGGCTGTGCCACTCCAGTGGGGCTCTACTGTAATTTGGCAGAGAAAGAGTAATACGAAGCCTGTTTCTCCCACTGTGAACAGAAACTGTACAACTCTATGGGGATGTGTGGAGAAATTGCTTTTCAACATTTGGCTGCCTAAACATAAGGCAGATAGAAGTAGTTAACTGCTGGAATGGCTTACTGGGGGCGCCTTCTCCACCTCTGGAGATCTTTAAAAATGTGATGGAACTTCCATCCATTTGAGCTCGTCTACAGCGCTGCTGTCTGAATACAGGCAAGCTTGACTAGATCTCTCAGTACTGGCCGGGTCACCTCTAGCGGCGGATTAAAGTCAGATGGGTGTCACGGCTAAGGAACTGGACAAGAGCCAACAGTATGATGTAAATAACTCGATCTAATGTGATGCTTAAAGTACTATTTTCAAGATGACATTAAAAAAAAAAAAAACTAGGATGATAACTGGACATTCCCATATGCTAGGAAACGGGACTGCAAAGATGAATACGATACAGCTCTTGCCCTTGGGGAGCTCACAGTCTGTGAGAGAAGCAGAGGTAAAACGTAGCTTAGGAAGAGATCGCTCTCTCTCTGCCCTGGCTCACTTCCTCTCCAGGCCCCTCCCCTTTCTCTGTTAAGCTTGAGTGTTCCTCTGGGAACGATCCTGGGCTCTTGCTCTTCTGCTTTTCACTCTCTGCTGTTCTCAGAGCTTCCACGCCGCTGTCCTGGCTTTAACTGTCACCGACAAGATGATTATGTTACATCTTTGGGTTTAGATGGCCTGAGCCTTAGGCTCTTAGATCCTACTGTTCACTTCTACATGGACGCTCCAGAGACCCCCACCGCCATTGCGTTGATGTCTCCTTACATTCTGCATCTGTGTGACTGATGGCCCTGCCTTCCACTTGTCCTAGCCGAACACTTGACTGTGTGTGCCTGCCCATTTCAAGGAGGCAACATCTCTTGGCTCAAGCCATTGTTTCTCAGGTAGAAATCTGGCCTCAGTATTAAATCTTTTAGTGTATCATGAAATTCTCACAGTCTTCACCATTGAGTAGATTGGACTGGGAGACACCTAGGAGATTAGTAGGGTGTGTTTATAGGAATACTTTTGGTGTGTTTATGAGAATATTGCCAGAGAGGATTAACTAAGGGGAGACCTGCCTAAATATATATGGTCTCAGCAAACAGGCTTGGGGCCCCAGACAGAATACAAGGGAAGGAGGAGGAAGTCCACAGGTGCAGGCATGCTCTCTCTCTACAGCCTTGCCATCTGGAGAGGAGCTTTTGCCACATGGTCCAACCTCTGATATTCTACCTTACCTCAGGCCCAAAGCGAAGGATCCAGCTGACTCTGGACTGAAATCTCTGAGGCCATCAACAGACCAAACCTTTCTTCCTCTAAACTCTTTCTTTTGAATATCTGTTACAACAACATCAGCAATAACAACAACAAAAAAACTAATATGGGAGATTGATGCCAGAGAGGTGGGGTCCATGCTGCAATCCAACCTGATGAAGTGGTTTTTAAGATTTGAAACTGGTTTGTAGGAGGAGTTTGGAAGAGGTTGAAGAAGCAGGCTAGAACATCTCTAGAATACTTTAAGAGTTTAATGGAGAATTCTGGTGAAAGAAAATGCTGGTGGGAATGTGGACAGAGAGACTGTGCTCATGAAACTTCATAGAAATGAACACTCTATTGGGAAGTAGACTAAAGGCCGTCCATGTTGAGTTCTGGCAAATATTTTGTTCGTTCCCTAAAGAAGACTTGAGTGAGGTTGAACTCAAAAGGAATTGAAAAAATTCCAAGACAACTCGGGCTGTGGCATGGTGACCGCTAGCTGCTTTTAGCCAGGTTGACAGTGCAATTGGGAACAAAAACAGAGCAGAGGAACGTGAAAATCTTGGCATCTGCCCAATAAAGAGGCTCAAGTTGGGGCTCAAGGAAAGTGTGGCTGTTAGAAATTAAAGCCACATACTTCTCACTAGCACAAAAGGAAAAGTCCCTTGGAGGCATCTCAGGGATTGGCCAGACCCACCGATCAAAGACTCAAGGATGTAAGAGTAACTTCATTGAGGACATTTTCCTTTGAAAGCCGGGTGTGGTGGCGTTTGACTAGGAAGACTGAGGCAGAAGGATGACAGCTTCAAAGACATCCTATCTTACATCGTGAGTTCCAGACCACCCTGAGCTACTGTGGGTTTTTTGTTGTTGTTGTTGTTTTTGTTTTGTTTGTTTTCAATGACTTTCCCTTGAGATGAGAGCAACATGGCTGGAGTTTCCTCTCACACTGAGCTCCACAGGAAGTTGGTTCTGTGATATCCATGGCATAGACACTATGAGACCACTGAAGCCATAGTCCAAGGACGCCTAGTCATAGGTCAAGTTGGTTATAAATCTTATCAGCCATCCACATGGTGCTAGTTTTATAGGCATGAAAAATATAGGAATTATTGGATCATGGAGCCCAAAACCACCAGCCATATAATACATCTTTGCTTCCTCAAGTTGTTTTGCTCAGGTATTTTTGTCACGGTGATGGAAAACTGACTAAGACAACACAATGACACTTCCCAACTTGAGAATGTTTGTAGTTAACCAAATTATCTTAAAGTACTGAGGGTACCAAGCAAATCCTCTCTGTGAGCTCCACGTGATTGTCGGTTGACACTGCATACCTGGGCTAGGGAATGAATTAAGAAATACGCTGCAAGGAGATACGGAGGCAGGCTGGTTATCACTGCAGCAGAGGATTTTCTCTCAGGTCAAAAGAAGAAAGAATTTCAAGAAGAAAATGAACCTCAGTGACAAAAGCCAAGAAGAAAACAAAGGGGTCCCTTGAGCTTGGAACTGCACTGTGGTCAAGTACTGTGATGGATTAGAAACCAGTTTGCAATCAAATAGGGAGTAACTTGAGGCAAGAATGCAGAGAATTTTATATAAATTAATATTTTGCTTGATTCCACATGAAGGACAGATAAATACTAGTTAGATTAAACATAGTCCAGGATCAGGAAAAAAAGAAGTTTAAAAACAACAAAACAATTTAATAGATGAATTTGTAGCGGAGTTGAAAATGTCATGCACACTGCAATTTCCCACCTTGACTTCCAGTTGCTCTTTGTTATATTGGGTGTGTCATCCCAAGTCCTCACCTGCTGGCTAGTGGGAGATGGGGTAGGAAGGCAGGCCCAAAGCTGTTTAAGGCATACTAATCTAATAACTGAGATGTCCCCCTGGGTGGTATTCTGTCGCTTGTATCAGTGTTCTGGGTCTCAGGGTGTCTGAACAAGAGAGACTATCTGGGTGTGGCGGGGGTGGGGTGGGGGGGAGGTGATTTCATCAAAAGGCGTGGTGCTGGTGTAATTCATAACTCGAGAGAGTACCGAGAATTGTGAACGGCACCTGTGGGAAATCAAAGAGGAAGTTCAAAGACACGTGGAGGCTGCAAGCCCAGCTGGAGCTGTGTCTATTTTAGTAGTGGGGTCTACCAGCAAGAGGTCAGGCTAGGGCGGGGAAGTGGTGAGCTTGGTTTGTGGCAGAGAATGTTCTGGCAAATGTGAAAAAAATGGGGAAGGATCAAAGGTGAACATCAACGATGAAGGTTCTAATGTCTGGAGAATACCAGACAAGATCTCCCGGTGGAAATGATCCGGCTCAGAGGTGACCATGCCGAAAGTCTGCTCTTCCCTAACCGTCCACCACTTTGCCTTCTTCTAGGAAGTCAGGTCCACGTCTCCAAAGTGACGTGGTTGGGAAACGCTACCGAGCATGGAGAGGCGGGCATCAGCTGCAGCCTGGATGGCTCCGGCAGCACAGCCTCCCTGTACTCCGTGACATGGTACTGGAGCAGAGCAAACGCTGAGAGCCAGATGCTGGCGCACCTGCAGTATGATGGCGTGCTGGAGTACGGCCCGGAGGGACGCAGGCGGCTCCTGCACTGCTACCGATCTTCTCCCACCGACTTCGTCCTGAAGCTGCATCGGGTAGAGATGGAGGATGCTGGGATGTACTGGTGCAGAGTGGCAGAGTGGCAGCAACATGGCCACCCAGCCAAGTGGGTCAGCCAAGCCTCAAATGAGTCCCAGCGGGTGATGCTCAAGGTGCTGCCCTCAGGTAACCTGGGGTCCACCAGCTACTGGCTCATGGGGTCACTGCCATATCCGGCTTCTCTCTGTGCTTCTGCCTCGCTTTGTTTCCTTCTTTTTCCAGACTGATGACAGTTTTTCAGATTTCTCAAAGAAGAGGACTTTACTGCCTTTCTCCATGGTAACTCATTTCGTCCCGCAAGGTTACCTGAGGTTTGGGCACAGACGCTTGACTAATGGGCATATCTGAACTGTTCTGACCTTCCCTTCCCAAGCAAAAAGCCGTCAGGGTCGTGTGTGCCTCAGATAGCCAGAGAACATGAGCAGCCAGCAGCATCCTTACCTCTCGGCTGGTCCTCTGATCCCGGGATGCTGTTTTGTGGTGGAAAAGAAGATGAGGCAGGATAAGACGGTAGTCATGATGCTAGCTCTACATTTTGACCCGACTGAACCAGAGTCAATTACATCCAAACACTCTCTTGATCGAGGGAAGAACAATTAACAGAACCAAAACCACTTTTCCTCAGAGAATCAGTGCTGGGATCTTTGTCTGTCGTTTGTCTTTCTCTCTCTGTCCCTCTGTCTGTCTGTCTCTGTTCTCACCAAACTGTCAGGTCCTTGATAATGTTACTGGGTAAACATACTCAACTTGCAGAAAATGACCGCTGTGGCTCACAGCTTTAGAGACTCTGGTTTCTGATCATCCTGCCCTGGAACTCTGAGTCTGCGGTCACACATCACGGCAGGAGTGTGTGACTGAGCAAACCCACTCACCTCTGGCTAGGAAGTGAGAGAGAGGAAGAGGAAGGGCTGGTGTCATGTCCCTTCAATGGCGTGCCTTTAATGACATGAAGATCTCCCACCAGAACCTTCTCCTAAAGGCACCACCACCTCCTAACAGAACCAAACTGAGGAGCAACCCTTTCCCGCATGGGCCCTTTAGGGGATGGGGTGGCCATTTAAGATCCTATTTGTTAGCAATGCTCATTTCGTGTCCTCTTTCCATTGTATTATTGTGTCTTGGAAGACATCAGAGAAGGAAGGATGCCATTTAGAGCTACCTTATAGTTTCCAGCAAAGAGAAGAGCCACTCAAAGGCCTTTGACCAAAAAGTGACGGTTCTCTGTGTAGAAAAGTCCCCCTCAGCCAATATCTCAGCCTAGCATAGTATCAGACAAGTGCTGGGTATCTATTAGACATGTGTTGATAACAAGAGTGCTTTCTTCCAGCAGGACCGATACATGGTGGCTTGCTGTAGTATCTGCCAGTTCATTGTCTTAGCTACTTCTTTCCAGGAGACTCAAACAGGTGAAAGATGAACTACAGGCTGAACTCTTATTGGAAAAGGATCACTAGAGAAATTAAAGCAGAGTCTTGGTACTCCACAACAGAACAGATAGATGGGATCCATTATAAAGTTGACATTCCTAGGAGAACAGCTAGCTTTAGCAACAATCCCTAGAAGGGAAGAGGTACATATGGCAATTCTCACAGGCAAAGAGAGCCTCACTGCATTTCCAGTGAGGCTTCATTTAACTTGTTACCTAGGGTTCCACCATCCTCTCCCCCATCTATTATTCTGGGCTCCACCATCCTCTCCCCCATCTATTATTCTGGGCTCCACCATCCTTCCCCCATGTCCATTCTTCAGTAATTCTTTTTTTCTTCCAAATGTCCAGGCAGAAATTTTTTTAGCAGCTTTTCATTCCAACAATTATAGGATATCCCACATATCTGGGCATACCCCACAAATGATTTCCCCTGGAATTCACAGGTCCCATAGAATCAGCAGTTTTTACAGTAGAATAAATAGGTAACAACCATAAAAAGGACTGATTCCATGACTAGCAAGCATATCTCCTCTGAGACAGGTGAGAGGCTGCACAGCATATCTATGTGAGGTCATGTAGAACATCTCATTGATCATGTAAAAGATGAACTCTGGAAGGAGACACTAAAAACACAGAGTCATTTTTGTCTCCTCTGAAAAGGCTCACAGGCCTGTGCCTCAACCAACAGGGTTTTCATTTCAGCAAACATGTTCCCATGGAGATCCTGTGGCAAGAGAAAGTGGCCTGCTCTGCCTTTCTGCTCCTGGCTAGTGGGTAGGGAGACAATCTGGGGTAATAAAAAGTCTTAGAGGTTGGAGTGACACAGCCCTAAACTCAGACTGCAGTCCTAACCACTTGCTAGCCGTGTCGTCAGACTATTGATGTGTATGATGTGTGCCTTTCTCATAAAACAAAGATCATAATACAAATATGTTTTTAAAATCTAGACACTGAGCAGGGCAGTGGTGGCACACGCCTTTAATCCCAGCACTCCGGGAGCAGAGGCAGGCAGATCTCTGTGAGTTCAAGGCCAGCCTGGTCTACAGAGCAAGTTCCAGGACAGCTAGGGCTGTTACACAAAGAAGCCCTGTCTCCAAAGGAAAAAAAAAAATCATATGAGATGTGAGCACACAAAACCGTTAATGGAAGGGGCCATTCCCACAGAATGGGGAAAGTTGAATTCACTGTGATAAGTGTCATCAGAGGAGGATAGTCCCAGAATGCTGAGGGAGCAACTGAGCCAGAGAGAAGGGTCAAGTAGAGATGGGAAGGTTCTCTAGAACATGGATGCATGAGAAGAGAGAAAACCATTTTAGGAAAATGGAAAGGCATACAATATAGCAAAAAGACATAAAACTTCACATCAGAGCCAGGGAACCTCAGTGGTTAAGAAGGGCTGAAACTCAGCGCCTGTAATAACAAGGCTAAAAGATGAGGGCACTGGGGGGGGGGGGGGGGGGGGGGTGTGGCACAGAGCTCAGATGTGCTTAGTGTATGAAGTGAGGGGCACTTTATCATGACAGTCATGGGGTGCTACTGAATAAGTTCAAGTGCAGCAGGGACACCCTTGGAAAGTTCCCATCAGGGGCAGCAGTGAAGCCGAAGTGGTGGGAAGCAGGCAGAGCAGGGAGAGCTACAGGAAACTGTAGCCAAGATGAGGCAAAATGGAGGCCCGAGCTCAGGCAGTGCTCGCGAGAAGGGGGAAGAACAAGCGGTAGGCAGTAGGAGGTGGAGTAGCTGGACATCTGTGGCCAGTGAGTGAGCAGCAAAGGCAAATTTGTATTGGGGCTTAAGTGGATCGTGAGGCCATTTACCAAGCAACCAAACCAAGGCTGAGCGGGGAGATGGGTCCAATCTGTGCAAGTTGAGCTGGAACTCCACCCAAAGAGAGTTTCCAAGAGGTGTTTATCTGGGAGATAGTGGGAATTCTAAATGTGAACTGCACACGACTTGCGTACTAGATGCTATCCATGTGTGGCCAGTAAGGACACTCAAGGAAGGACACTGAGGTGTCCATATATCCATGGCGGGAAATCAGAATAGCACATCAGGAGGCAAGGGAAGATGAACTGAACAATACAAAAAGGCTGTTTAAGATAAGACTGGGAGGGCTGAAGAGATGCCTCAGTGCTTAAGAACACTGCCGTGTAGCTATGAGAACTTGAGTTCAGGTCCTAGTACCTACACAACAAGCCAGGCGTGATCTCATATGCACTTGTGACCCTGAAACTGTTGGAGGCAGTCAGGAGGCTCTCTGGCGTTTGCTGGCTGCCAGTCTAGGCAAGAAAGAAGCATGAGCTATGGGTACAGGAGAGACCCTGCCTCAAAGGGACAAGGCAGAGAATGAGAGAGGAGGACACCTGCACACGCGCGCGTGCGCGCACGCACACACACACACACACCAAATGGGAACATCTCCACTAGACCTAACATGGTAGAGACAGAAAAGCAGTAAGAACATCAGGCTGAGGTAGCTGAAGAGTGAGGAAGCAGACATGTCAGACACAGGTTTCTTCCTCAGAACTGTAAAGGACAAGAGAGAAGACCGTAAGATATGGCAGGAAGCGTCAAACAATGAGTTTTAGTTATTTGCTCTGTTCGGAGTTCAAGTCAGTAGGATCCGGAGCATGTTTACAGTACAGAGGGGGAGGGGCATTGGGAAGGAAGATGGAGTTGGTACAGCAGCCCAACATCTGGCCATGGAGGCAACCCTTCAGACAGTACACCTCATGCCATCCTTCCCTGGTCCACCTCCGGGCCTTCATGTTTCTCTGACTTCCCCTCAGTCATCACGCTGCAGCTACCTGTACCACACACAGTGCCACTAGTGGCCAGGGACTCTGAGAATACACCGACATCACATGTCTCCTCCCAGCTCTGGACTGACCCAAGAGAGGCTCAGATATTTACCAGCCCATAATGGTAGTTCTGCTGACTGCCAACTCTGCATGCTGGTAGAATCCAAATCAAATACAATCCACTACTGCTCTTCACTTCTCTGCTTCCTTTATTTGACCACACCAGATTGGGTTAGTTTTAGGACTACAGAAAGGAGCCCTGGATCACATGGCTTGAGTGGAGGCCTTACAGGCATATCCTGGGCCTTGCGCCTCCCCCATTGTCTCTCTACAGTGACTTAGCAGGGTAGGGGCTATATATAGGGCTAAGTCTTTTTACCTCCCCTTCAGTTCCTAAATACAAATGCATTCTTCTTTTGTTTGTTTGTTTGCTTGCTTTTTGAGATAAGGTTTCATAGAGCCCAGGCTGTCCTCACACATGCCATATAGCCAAGGATAACCTTGTAGTTCTGACCCTCCTGCCTCTACCTCCTCAGTGCCAGAGTTACATATCTGTTCCATTACACCAGATTTATATGGCACTGGGGAATGGACCCAGGACTCTGTGCATGCCAGGCAAGCACACTGCCAGTACAGCCACATACCTAGTCCCTAAATGTCACAATCTGAAAAATTGTCTGTGATGCAGTGATGGGCCAGCCAGTCCATAAGGCTTTGGGGCAGGGAGTGGATGGCTTATTTGTGGCAGCATAATACTCATTACTATCCCCTAGCTTTTATTTCGATGAGAAGTTTTTTTTTTTGTTTTTTTTTTTTTTTTTTTTTTTGGTTTTTCGAGACAGGGTTTCTCTGTGTAGCTTTGCGCCTTTCCTGGAACTCGCTTTGGAGACCAGGCTGGCCTCGAACTCACAGAGATCCGCCTGGCTCTGCCTCCCGAGTGCTGGGATTAAAGGCGTGCGCCACCACCACCCGGCTTCGATGAGGAGTTTTTTAGAGAGTGGATTCTTAAAGGAGACACGCATTCCTACCACACTGAAGTTTCCAGAGAGGCCATTTGTTTACTTTCCCGTGTACACTCAACAAGGTCTGGCCGAAGCACTCTGGCTCACACTTGATGAAAGAATGAGCAAGCACCCCTCCCATGAGGTTAAAACAGGAACCTGTCAGGAGCCACTTGCTGTGGGAGGTACTTGCTGCAGAGATCCAAACCCCACTTGGGGGCCAGCTCTCTTAAATGACCTCCCACGGCCCACATTCTGGATGGAGGTGGGAAGGTTCAAGGAACCTTTATCCTCTCTCTCTCAGGTCAGCACTTCCAAGGTAGTGTCCAGAGGAAAAGCTATTCATGGTGTGCGTGGCTGTGGGCAGAAGGAAGCAAGTTATAAATGGCTGCTCAAGATGAAGTGTGCTCATTATGCTTTTGGCTCTCTTCTGCAGGCCTTGTACTTTGAGTATGGGGCACTTACTTGGATTGACTCAAAATGCCAAACTGTAATGGTTTTGAGTATCACCCATTCTCATCCAGATATGGGTGAGAGGCAGATGGTGGGAAATGGTGACTGCAGGTTCCAGAGCAAACAGTGCCCTCCCCCGAGAGGCAATTTAGAGGCACTGGAGCTGACAGTTGCTTGCTGTTGGCCAACTCAGCGCTGTGCAGAGGGCACTCTGCTGCCCTGTGGTGGTAGATTGATCAAAATGGAGAAACCTCCTCCCCATGAAGACTGTTCCTTCATACTAAAGGCTAGAGTCTCAGAGGCAGACGAGCCCAATGCCAGATGTCTTCCTACTTCCTGCATGCTCACCCCATCTCGCCATCACCATACAGCCATTCCAGCAGCCATAAGACCTGCCGTGGACTCACCTCCCGATTCTCTACCACCCCTGACTAGAAAGAAAGCCAGTGTATCACTTACTTTTCTATCTCTGTAAGAAAACACGATGACCAAGGTAACTCATAGAAGAGTTTGTTTGGGCTTACGATTCCAGAGGAGTGGTGGCCATGAAGGCAGAGCACAGGCAGCAGGTAGCAGGCATGGCCAGAAGAGCAGACACAGGGCTCTCACTTGAACTGCAAGCACAAAGCAGGGAGAGCGAACCAGAAGCAGTGTGGATCTTCAGACTCCCAAAGGCCGCCGCAGTGACATACTTCCTCCAGCAAGGCCACACTTCCTCAACCTCCCCAAACAGCACCAATAAGCGGAACCAAGTCTTCGGATGCCTGAGATGGATGGGAAAGCTCACTCAGCCAGCGTCTCCGCAGGAATCATTTAACGTTTCAGTGAAGGGTAAGATTGAGTCCATGAAAGAAGGCGAGAAGTCTGTTGTATTATGTTCAGCTTCCCATCTCTGGGACAGAAGACCTGAGATAACGTCTAGGGAGGGAGTCCTATTTTGTCTCATAGTTTTGGAGTTTTCAGGCCACAGTTGGTTGGTTCATGGCTTTGGGCCAGCAGCAAGGCGGATAAGAAGGTGTGACCCTTCAAGAAGTTACTCCCCTCTTGGCATCCTGGAAACAAGGAGGAAAAAAAAATGGTAGAAGAAGAAGAAGAAATCAGAATTCTACTGTTCCCTTTAAGGCCATGCTCCCAGTGACCTATGACTTCCCACTAGGCCCCACCTCTTACAGGTCCCATCACTCTCGAGTAACACCAAGCTGAGGCCAAACCTTCACTACCTGGCCCTTTAGAGGACATTCCCGATCCAAACCACAGAGCTGAGGTCTCTGGGAGGAGTCAGCAGGCTTGGCAGAAGGTTGCCTAGGCATTTCTCAGCTTCCCCAGGAACATTCTAGCTAATGTCTATTGCTTGCCCATTCAACAAATGGTCTCGGTATCGTGTTAGATGTTCTATTACATGTTATCTCATTGAAATGCAGCGAATTATTATTATCCCTGTTTAGCTGATAAGGAAACAAAGAATTGGAAGAGATGAAAAACTTACCCATTCTTCGTAAGAGTCAAGCTCTCTCTGAAATACAGTTGATATTCATTCCCTCTGCTGCATGGATGCTCATGGCCAGTGTTTTAACCAGGCCTGGGTCCACCCTCTGTCAGTGAAAGTTCTTAGGTCTGGGGTCAAGAGAGACAAAGACAGATTGTCCTTTTGGGTTATTAATGCCATGGACAGACAGCAGCATGGTAGGGGCCCTGATGAGAGTTCAAGCTCACAGGCAGTGTGTAGGAGGTCTCGTCTTAGAGGTCTCAGGAAAGGGAAGGTTTCCCATCATGAGCTTGCAGCCAGGATCTCTCTGATTCACCTGCTGCAGAGTGGGTAGGGTGGGGAGGAGAGGAACTCCAGAGAAGGGATGCGCAGCTCTGAGGATGTGGGGAAAGTGAGAAGGAAGGGCCCATCCAGGTGAAGTGCACCCATTATATGGGTGGAGGGATGTGTCAACATTGGCACCCTTTTGATATCCCAGGGAGTCCAACCCTGAGGTTTATAAACTTCCTTGGAGAAGTGAAAATCGTGGCTGTCTGTCATTCTCCAGGAGTCTGGACACCTGAAGAGACTGTTTACAGTCTCATAGATGGGCTCTCTGTAGGGGGCTTGCCATTTCCTTACCGTGGCTGTTGCTAGAAAAAAGAAGTTTCTGTAGGTAGGTAGGTCTGGCTCAGCAATCTGGTCTATGCTAACTCAGCATTGCTGTCTCTGCCTCCTTTGGCCATGTTGCAAGTGTCATCCGATGAGCCCTGAGAGACTGGCTGGTCCAGCTGGGTCATTTGGGAGAAGAATGCACACAGAGGACAGAAAGTTACAAATTAAACCAGGCATGGTGACACACACCCGTAGTCCCAGCCTTTGGAAAGCTGGAGCAAGAGGATCAGGAGTTCGAGGTTAGTTCGAGAGCTATAGTGAGACTCTGTCTCAGAATAAGACAAACAAACAAATAAACTAAACGAAAGCAAAGAGAAAAATCGAAATCTCTCTTCCATTGATCATCTTTTCAAGAAGAAAAATCAGATGCAAGATGAAGACTACAAATGAGAACAGGAAAAATCCAGGCCACCAACTTCTGCAGCTTCGTGCCAACCCCATTCAGAACGGACAGCCTAATGTTCACCAAGGACCGTCACTCTGCATTGCACAGTGGTGGCCACCCTGGTTCTTGCATGGGGAATATACTCAGCAATTGATTCCTTTATCAGGATCTCGTGAGGCCTTCTAGGGGAAGTGCTTCACAAGATACAAAGACACAGGCCTGACTCTCAAGGAGCTCACAGTGCCAGCCTGGAGCAGTTGTCTGGGTTTTCTCTTGATTTCCAGCAAAGAGGCAGTCTTTGACGTGTAAAGTGCATCAGTGAGGTCCCAGAGGGGCTTCTTTTTGCAGCGAGAGGTTGATCAGAATGACCTATTAAACCTGTTTTTATCACCGAGGATCTATAATCTCATAAATTCTATAGCTTAACCTTTGAAGAAGAGAGGGCTCATGTCATTATGGTTTCCCAAGCAAAGCACACCTGCTGCCAGCATCGGATGGTTCAGAACAGCCCCGATTTCAAATATATCATAAATGTAGTTGGAAGACCACAGCAAGTGATCAGTAGCACTTTACACACGTGGCTTTCTGCTGAATGCCTATAACCTGGGCCTTTGGTCATTAGCTCAGGAGCTCAGGGTGCCATTTCCCAGGACCTGTGGCATCGTGAGTCCACTCTACTCTGCTTCCTTGGGAAGTGGCCAGGAGCCCCATTGCCTGACATGTTTGTCTGCTGATGGTAGCAGACTGCAGCTGCCTGAGGATCACATGCTTCGGCATGCCTCTGTAGTGTGCCTTCAGCAGCAGTCAATTTGGTATAGCTCAGATCAGCAAAAGCTTTTGAGCATCCGACTAGGCACTATGGGTAATTCATGGATCCCAGGACACTATCAGATATTCTCGATCAAGGTAAGGAAAAGGGACTAAACAAAGGACTGCATGACCAGGGAGTGAGAACTGGACCATGTGAAAAGTCTGGCAGCAGTGAGATCCAACCAGACAGGGGCTGTGCCGGAGGCATAGGAAGTGACCGTTGAGCTTTGGGGTGGGGGCAAGGAGCCAGGGGCTGGGTGACCTATGTGAGTGACATGGGTCAGGGGGAGAAGCACACTCTTCCATAGGTTCAGCTGTTGCCGAGGGTGGCACAGTACATTGTGAGTCTCAGCCGCAGCAGTGGGAATAGCTCAGTTAAAAATTCAGGGCCAGCTCCACAGTTGAGAACGAGGGCTGAATTATACATGTCTTTTCTGAGGGAAGGAGATTAAAGGAAAGGTTTTCTTTTTTGTTTTGCTTTTCCTTTTGGCTGGTGGTTGTAAGTAGGTCATTGGAAGTTGTATAGCTGCAGTGGATAGGCAGGGAGAGATGTGTGTGTTGAGAATGTCCTAGGCCTCTTCTCCCGGTGCTCTGCCTTGCACCCTCACAGGATGAAAAGCCTGTGCTATGCCACCCTGTTATCTACATGGACTTGCCTCTGATAACGTATAAGCAAGGGTACGTGACTAATCGGCCCAGATGATTTGGACACTGAGTCTCTCCCGTGTTTCTCTTTTGTTGCAGAATCCACCTTCTCGTCCCGGATCTGCTCCTCCGAACCCTTGCTCCGCTTCCTCATCGCCTGTCCCCTCATCATGCTGCTGCTGCTGCTCATTTCCCTCCTCTGCTTATACTGGAAGGCCAGGAAGTTGTCACAGCTGAGTCTCAGTGCCCAGAAAGAAAAGGCTCTCTGGGTAGACATGAAGACTGGACCAGTTAGGCACGAAGATGAAGGCTACTGAATCGCAAGGCACGCCTATGCTGATGGAGGGAGTGTGATGGGATTGGACTGGATTGACCAGGGTGAAGGAACTCTGCTTCAGACCTTGGCCAAGTTACCTAGGGACCAGAAGGGACGTGTCGTGGGCATGTGTTGCTAACCAGATCCTGTTGAGTGTTTCTTTGTGTATCATCCATCTTACTCTTTGAGTCCTCCAGAAGTAGATAGCGTTATTGCCCCAGCTTACATAGACCTGACCTCCTCAAGGTCCAGCCCTCACCTGAAAAGCAAGGAGCACCAGCCAATGAGCCTTTGCTCCTCTCTCACTCCTTTCCAGCATCACCTATTCCCTGGGAAACATCAGCTTGGCCCAGTCACAAGGGAAATCATTTCCCTCTAGATAAGAGACACAGGAGAAATCTGATGTCAGCAAAGCAAGAGGAATTGAGGGCATGGACTCGGGTGGCCAGCATCTGAGTCCCCAGTTAGTAAACAACTTCTTTCTAGGCAAGGCCCCATTTCCCCTCAGTCCCTTTACAAATGCCTGCCAAAAAGTGTAAAAGTAGGTATCTAATCAATATTGGTTCTTTGACAAAAGGGTAACACGTTGTGGCCTTTTTGACATGTTTCTTTGGCTTTGTGCGTTATGGTTTGGGGGTGGTTTTTGTTTCTATTTTTATTTTGTTGAGAAAGGGTCCTGTGATACAACCCAGGCTAGCCTTGAACTTGAACTCACCATATAGCTCTGCACTGTATAGTCTGGGCTGCCCTCCATCTTGCATCAGTCTTCTTCCTACCAAGGCCGGCCTCCAAAAACTGGGATTAAAAATAGGAATTGGCACCAGGTGGTGGTGGCACATGCTTTTAATCTCAGCACTCAGGAGGTAGAAGTAGGTGGATCTCTGAGTTCGAGGCCAGCCTGGTCTACATAGTGAGTTCCAGAACAGCCAGGGCTACACAGAGAAACCCTGTCTCGGGGTGCTGGTTGTGTGTGTGTGAAGCACACATTGGCAGATTTGGTTTAAGAGTTAGTAAGTTATCATTGAAAAACAGCTCCCCCATACACCATGCAACAGTGTTCTACTTGGCCCCCGAGGCCTCCTATCTCCCCCTCACCTCGCCCAGCCACCACCACCACGGTGCTTGGTTAATGCCGTACTTTCTTTGATAGAACTGAGTAGAAGGAAAGGATCTCAGTAGAGCTTTGGAGAGGGGTCTGAAGTAATGCCCCTATCTCATGTTGGTGGAGTTGGGGCTCAAGGGAAGCAGCAGGTCCCTAATGTCACCCTAGAAAGTCCCAAGGGTGAGGTGTCATGGTTTAAACCTTTCAAGAACTGTGTCCCCTGTTCAGCCTGGTCGTAGCCAGAATTGAAAATCAATCAAGTAAAGAACCTCAGATAACACATCTATTTATTGTCTATGTGACCACCAGGGTTTCTTCAGTACTTGGTAATTTGCATTTCTAAGGAGAGCCATTTATTTTTAATTATTTTATCAGGCACACAGTCCTCTCCAAAGATAATTAGTTCCTTTGCTCCTTTGCAAGCAGATTATCTGTGGCTGGGAGAACTCCCACCATAGACCTGCTGGTTCTTTAATCCAACTTCCTCTAAAGCCTCATTTGAAGCATTCCAAATGTTTTCTTAAACAACCAACATATTAAGGTCTTCTCTCCCAGGAAAGGATGAAAAGAAAACTGAAATTGAAGAGTTCTTCAGAAATATGATGGCTCCCCCCATTTTTAGAGGCCTTTAAAAATTATTTTATTATGTGTATAGGTAATTTACCTACATGTACGTCTGTGTACCGTGTTCATGTAGGGCCCACTAAAGTCAGAAGAGGGCACTCCCTTGGAACTGGAGTTAAGAGATGGTTGTGAGCTTCCATGTGGGTGCTGGGAATCGAACCTGGATCCTCTGGGAGAGCAGCCAGTACTCTTAACTGCTGAGCCATCTCCCCAGCCCCTAAGGCTTTTTTTTTTAAGTCAGGGTTTTACTAGGTAGCCTTAACTGACCTGGAATTCACAATGTAAACCAGGCTAGTCTAGTACTTACAGAAATCTGTCCCTTTGTAAAGGCATGTACCGTCATATCTGAAGGAAACCTGTATTTGAATTAAACCCTGGCAGAGAATCATGGGATACACTGTGGTACTTCCCATCTGTTTTCCCTGTAGTACTCTCCCAACTTGGCCCCAACACCCTTACCTTTCAACTCCAAGCCCAGATATTACTTCCTTTCTGTTGAACCCTTTTTCTTCTTCTTCCTTTTTTTTTTTTTTGGTTTTTCGAGACAGGGTTTCTCTGTGTAGCTTTGCGCCTTTCCTGGGACTCACTTGGTAGTCCAGGCTGGCCTCGAACTCACAGAGATCCGCCTGGCTCTGCCTCCCAAGTGCTGGGATTAAAGGCGTGCACCACCACCGCCCGGCTTTCTTCTTTTTAATTAAACATTTTTTAAAATTCATTTTACATACCAACTACAGATCTCCCTCTCATCCCTCCTCCTACTCCCTCCCCAGCCCCACCCCTCCTCCAAAAGGTTAAGGCCTCCCTTAGGAGGTCAGCAAAGCCTGGTATATTCAGTTGAGGAAGTACCAAGCCCCTCCCCTGCTGCATCAAGGCTGAGCAAGGTGTCCCACCATAGGTAACGGGCTCCAAAAAGCCAGCTCGTGCACCAAGAATAGATCCTGACCCCACTGCCAGGGGCCCCTCAAACAGACCAAGCTACACAACTGTCTCCTGTATGCAGAAGGCCTAGTCTGGTCCCGTGCAGGTTCCACAGTCAGAACAGACCTTCTTAGAGACAGAGCTACAAAACTTTTCCAGCCAGAGTGCAGCCAGGGGAAGTATGTCCCTGAAATACTTCCTGCTTGTCAGTCACTGTGGAAAGGGTGGTGACTCAAATATGTCCACCCCCTAGCAGCATGGCCTGGCCCATTCTGGATGCTCTCTTTCATAAGTGGGATGAACAGCACATCAGATTACCTTAGGAGCTATATCACACTATTGGCCCAACCATCAGTTTTCAGGCAACTAAAACCCCAAACCTTTGTGTGTGTGTGTGTGTGTGTGTGTGTGTGTGTGTGTGTGTGTGTGTGTGTGTGTGTGTGTGCATATATATGCACCTATGAGTATGTGTAGAGGCCAGAGGTAGACACTTTGGGGTGTCTTCCTCAATCTCTACTCTACCTTATTTTTTTGAGGAAGGATCTCTCACAGAGCCTGGAGCTCACTTGTTTTGGGCTAGACTGGCTGGCCAGTGAACCACCAGGATGCTCTGGTCTTGTGCCCCACCTCACCACTCATGCCAACCCAGAGCTGGGTTTACAGACGCAGGGCTCCCATACTCTGCTTTTATGTGCAGGCTGGGATCTGAACTCGGGTCCTCATGCCGGTGCAGCCGACCCACCAAGCCATCTCCCCAACCCAACCCCGGAGCATCTCGAGTGTAATTAGCTTTGATCCAGCCTAACATATATTTCTCAGCACACTTCCCTCCAGGTGTGCTCTTGTTTGCTTTAGTGCTCGAACTTGGTGGAGGACTTCTCTTGTGCTCAGTGATTGCAACTTTCCTGTTCTGTGTCCCCACCTGGCTGTATTTTCAGCTTTGTTATGAATCCTCTTTGGCAGTGAGACAAGCCTTTGTCTCAGGGACTGGCAGACCACAGCCCAGGGGCCTGATGCAGCCTTACGCCCGTGCTTTAAATACGATTTACTGGAACACCGTCATGCTCATTCCCTTACATTCTCTGCATGGCTGCCTCTGTGAGGAAATGACCACAAGGGGAGGGTGTTAAGGACACCATGTGTGCTGGGTAATTTTTATCATCAACTTTACACAACTTAGAGTCACCTGGGAAGAATCAACCTCAATCGAGGAACGGCCTGGATCAGATTGACCTGTAGGCACGTTTAGGGGGGATTTTCTTGATTGTTAGGTGATATAGGAGGGCCCAGCCCACTGTGGGGGGGTGCCATCCCTAGGCAGGTGGGCCTGGGCTGTATAAGGAAGCTCCCTAAGTGAATTAGACACTGAGCTGGTACGCAGTGTTCCTCCATGGTTTCTGCTTCAAGCTCCTGCCCTGGCTTCTCTCAAGGATGGACTGAGACCTGGATGTATAAGGCAAACAAACCCTTCCTCCCCAGGTTGCTTTTGGTCAGAATGCTTTATCACAGCAACAGAAAGAAAGTTAGAACACCATGTGACCTACAAAGCCGCAAATGATTTCTTTCTGCCCCTTTCCAGCCTCTGTCTGCTGTGGGATGGTCTGTATGTCAAATGTGTTGCTGATTGGTCAATGAATAAATCACTGATTGGTCCGTGGCCAGGCAGGAAGTATAGGCGGGACAAGGAGGAGAATAGAGCTGGGAAGTGGAAGGCTGAGGGAGGAGACACTGCCAGCCGCCATCAGGACAAGGAAGATGTAAAGTACCGGTAAGCCACAAGCCACGTGGCAAGGTATAGATTAATAGAAATGGATTAATTTAAGCTGTAAGAACAGTTAGCAAGAAGCCTGCCATGGCCATACAGTTTGTAACCAATATAAGTCTCTGTGTTTACTTGATCGGGTTTGAGCGGCTTGGGACTGGCGGGTGAGAGAGATTTGTCCTGACTGTGGGCTAGGCAGGAAAACTCTAGCGACATCTGTCTCTTCGGGTTAGTGCTCTGCCCATTGTAGCCTTGTATTATGTGCCTGAAACATTTGATTTGACCTGTTTTTATCTTCCTTTGTTGTGTATTTGGTTGACTTAATAAACAGTCTTAGGCTGTCAGGACTGGTGTCTGGTCGAAGCCATTCTGCACTCAGGATCCTCCCGAGCAGGCTGGCAGTGAGGGTGGAAAGCTCGCCACCCTGCGGAACACCTCGCCACTGTTCTTCGAACCTTCTCTAAGCAAGACAGGCTGACACCGAGATGAATAAGGCATGGCTGCCCCTCTCATTATTTTTGGTCTTTTGAGACATGTGTAGCACTAACTGATTTATTGCTGGAGATGACTGCAGTGGTGAAAAGATGCCGGCCACGCTAATTCCTCATGACTGTTCAGAATTTATGCAGCATCACAGTTTCTTGGCATCCTACACGGAAGGGATTGTTTCCTTTCTACAGGCAAGGAACTGATGCCCAGAGAGGTTAAGATTTATCCAGGATCAACTAGCACTGTGTAGAAGAGCGAGACCAAAATTTAGGTTTACTGAGATATCCTACACCAGTGGTTCTCAACCTTCGTAATGCTGCAACCTTTTAATGCAGTTGCTCATGGTGTGGGGACCCCCTCCCAACCATAACATTATTTTCATTGCTACTTCATCACTGTAATTTTGCTACTGTTAAGAACTGTAATGTAAATGTCTTACATTCAGGATATCTGATATGTGAGACCCCCGTGAAAGGATCGTTCCACACCCCCAAGGGGCTGTGACCCACAGATTGAGAACCACTGTCCCAGACTCTCTTACCACAAACACTGTGCACTAATTTATTGCTATGAGGGGAAATTTTGATGATGATAATACCCACATCACTGGTTCAAAGCCTTATATAGACACAAGGGCTTGCTGTTTATTTTCTTTTCCACGGCCAAGTTCACAGTGGTAGGAGCAGCTCCTGTCCATAATAGTTGAGCTAAGGAAGCAGCTTGCTCACCTCTCAGCAGCCAACTTATAAATACGTTTTAAACCCCTTCAAATCATAAACGAATGTCACCGTATCTCGATTTTTTTTCAGGCCCTACCTGTGCTCATATGAAATAAAATCAATAGTAGTAATTCAGATTTTACAGGCTTTTGTCACAGCTTGCTTGCAACGGGGTCGTAGCCATCAATAATGTCCTTCAAATATATCTGAGGATTCTGCAGGATGTTGAGGATTCCCATGTGCTCAAAAGCAAAGTCTCTCCCCTCTAATTCCCTGTTGTTCAGTTGGGTACCATGGGCTCCCTGGAGCTTGGGATGCTGGATGAAGTTTGAGAGATGAGCAGATAGCACTGCACTCAGCGGTGACCATCTACCTGTCTGCATCACATTCAGTTCTAAGGGGACAAACTCAAAGTTTCTGTGACTTTATGCTCTCTAGTTACTCTCTTGTGAAAACAGCTCTATTACCTTTTGCCCAATATTTCCTTTGTAACATCTAAACACTGACCAGTCTGGGACCATCCTGTTCATTCCTCTACTTTCTGTCCTATGGCCTCGGGTACTGTGTACTTGACCTGTTTACCACCTCCTTTCCTTTGTTTCCTACAGGGAGGTCGTGCAAGCCTGCTTGAGGGGATGCCACACCACCATCACCAGAAAGGCTCCAAGGTGTCTGTATTCCCTTTCATGGCGGTCCTATTATGAACTAAAGTGCTGTGACCACTTAGAAAGGAGAGAAATGCCATAAGGGAGATGCTATTTGACTGAACATTAAAAGTAACGGCATATCTTTAGAAGAAAAGTTGAGTTGAGGTCAACAGTCTAGGTAGAGAAGACTCCCAAGAGAAATGCAATGCATAGAATAGCTCTGGGTTGCCTTAAGTGCCACAACCACTGAGAGGGTTGGGAGAAGGGGGTCTCAAATGTGCGCAGATGCTTGGGTTTAATGGTAGCCATTGGCCAGCCAGTGAGCACTGCTCAGCAGGGAAGGAGAGGGTGAATGTTCCGCATGTGAAAAGGACAAGTGAAGACTTTGGCTTAAGTTAAACTGGGAAGGCAGTGGTACCAAAATGAAACAGGGCAGCTAGCTGGAGAGCATCCTTTGTTTACCTACCATGAATAATGGAGATGGCACCAGTTTTGTGAATGCTTTGAGTGTAGAACAAAGTTATCAGAAAATTTCAAGTTTTAGGCAGAGTCGGGCCACAGAGCAAGACTCTGACTCAGAGACTAGAAATAAAGAAATATGAAAAGAAGAAGAGGGGGAAAAAGAAAAGAAATTTTAAGTGAAGGTCACAAAGTAGCTAATATTTATTTGTTAAATACAATGGCATATCTTGGGATTCTTCTTAGTTTAATATGTATATGTTAAGTTAATTTTCTCCTAATATGTACAGAAATAGCAGACAGTTACATTTGCTATCTCAACTGGCTTTTTGTTCATCTTTTTATTTGAGATAGGATCTTTCTATGTAGGTCAGGTTAGCCCATCATTATAATCCTCTTGCCTTGGCCTTCTGAATGCTGGGATTACAGGTGTGTGCCATCATGCCTGTCTCCATTTATCTTTTTTATACTCACTTTTACATTTAATTGGCCTGTTAGAAATGCAAAGCTTCTACCACATCACCTATGAAGCCAAGGTCTCTTCTGGACCACCTACCAAATGGAGATGTTTTGTTCGGACAAAAGACCACATTAGGTAAGGCCTGTGATTCTGAAGTTTACATGCTATCGCCACCAGTGTGTGGAAGTCCGAGGCTGTTCTTTCTGGGAGGCAGAGGGTAGAGGGTTCCTACTCTGCTGTGCACATGTAATAATAGGATCCTTGGATAACTCATCTCACTCTGGTCCCTCCTTGGTACTCTGTGCTCCATCTATAACAAATTACTCACCGAGTCCCAACTGTGTTTCTAGTTGTGTGTCTTTTACTGTGAAAACCTTTTCCTTTTCTGTGATCCTGACTCATTCCTTGAACTGACCTCAATATTTTTGAGGCCCACACAAAGTCTTAGGAGAAAGCTGTACTCTTTATTCTTTTGTGTCTTAGCTAGGGTTCTATTGCTGTAAAGAGACACCATGACCATGGCAACTCTTATAAAGGAAAACACTTAATTGGGGTGGCTTACATTTTTAGAGGTTTAATCCATTATCATCATGGTGCAACATGGTGGCACACAGGTTGGCAGACAGGTTGCTGAAGAAGTAGCTGAGAATCCTACATCTTGCAGGCAACAGGAAGTGGTCTGGGACACTTGGCAGTATCTTGAGCAAGTATGAGACCTCAAAGCCTGCCTCCACAGTGACACACTTCCTCCAATAAGACCACACCTACTCCAAGAAAGCCACACCTCCTAACAATACCACTCCCTTTGGGGAACCATTTTCTTTCAGACTACCACAGTTTGCATGTTCTAAACTGGATGATATTCAGATAGAGTTGTGTGTGATACAAGCCAGAATCTCAGAGAGCTCCCTACTCCCCCTGCAAACTCTTTGGAAACCGAGATTGTGAGTGCCCCTGCTCTTTTCTTGGGTCATCTTCCCACATGGGACTGCTGTCAGGAAGCATTTCTTTGTGGCCTGATGTCATGCATAGCACTACATGGAGAGACCTGATAACACAGAACCTGCCCCTTATCACTGGTGTGAATCTGCCACTGAAGATCTTCCCTTTTACCCTGAACAGAATAAGCCATTCTTCAATGTGAGGGACTTTCAACACTTTGGTTATTAGTTACAACACTGATCACTGTGAACACAGGACATTGGGGCTCACACTGTAGTCCCAGCACATGGGAGGTGGAGGCAGGAGGATCAGGAGTTCCTCATCTGCGGGATGAGGTCAAGGACAGTTCGTACTTCATGAAATTTCACAAACAGAAACTAATCATTGAAAGTCCCGGGCACATAAAACAGATATACACTATGACACTAGCAAGGTATGTCCTCTGATAACACACACACGCGTGCGTGTGCAATGAGTCCCTAATTGAAACACATACCACTAATAGCTCTTGGTACGATAATACTATAGACCAAGGATCATCAACTTAGATTTAAGCAGGTAAATTAAAAGAAAAACAATTTGTCTGAGGAGAGTCCTTAGGGAGTAGTGCAGACAGAGGTATTTGGAACGTGCATTTCTATTTAAAGGCACTCAGAGCCAAGGTAATATATGAGATAATTGTGCAAAGAATTAAAAGGTGTTAGAGGATGGATTCAATCCTTTGCAATCTTGCATCACATCCCGAGGCTATCAACAGATACCAAAATTCCACCATCAAAACAGCATCTCAAGGTCATGACGACATTCACTGATCACAAGGCTACATGCCCGGCTATTTTGCTATTTTATCACTCAAAAGCAGGTCTATCACAGATCACAAATGAATTTTTGTATAACACACGAGACAGAAAGCTTGAGCGCCATTGTTGGGAATGTGAAACAGCGTAGCTGCTGTGAACAAGCAACAGGGCAATGCCTTTCATTTATTTTCCCTACCTTATTTACATTCTCTTACTGCAAAAGTAGGAATGCAATTACCCTATAATCCAGTAACTTTGCTTCTGAGTGTATACCCAAATCACTGAAAGCAAGGACATGAAGAGATTTTGTACACCCATGCTCATAGCAGCAGCATTCACGATAGTCAAAAGTCTGAGGCAATCTAATGTCCGTGGATAGATGAATAAATTAGGATATTACATATATATATATATTTATAGCATAGAATATTAGTTATTCTTTTAAAAGGAGGAACATTATGACACATGCTACAATGTGGATGAAACTTGGAGACCTTGTAAGTGAAGCATCTCGATCATAAATGGACAAATGTATAGGATTCATTAGCAGAGCAGTGTTTCCCAGGACTAAGTGATGGGACAGTACGGGATACTTGTTTAACTGGTTAGAGGGCCTTGATTTGGGAAGATGAAAAACTCAGTAGAGCTGGATGGTGGTGACTGAACCATGTGCTTGGACT